CAATATTTAAGATACAATTCTATTTTTGTTTTAAATCCTTTCCAAATAAATTCTAAGTGTATTTATTAAACTGTGACAACAGGCAAATGAGCCATTTTAGGACAATTATCAATGCAAGTATAGTTTATTTTAAAGAGAAAGGAATTTCTTAACATTCCCTCATGCTAATGCATATTTTTTATAAGGAGTGTAGTGATGCTAAGTCATATGCATAGAAGAGAGAGGCAATACTTAAAAGTAATTTATAAAGTAAATATAATTCAGTATACATTAAAAGGCAACCATCAACTCTATACAAAGCCACAGGCATAAGCCATTAACCCTAAGTAAAAAGATCACAAGTTTTATCATTTGGCACTATTTCAAATTTCCAAAATCATGTGGATTACATTACTAGAAAAAGGTAAAAGGACACATTAATTATGTTCCCCCCCTCTGCCAAGGAAGGTTTTTTACAGCATGAACAGAATGAGTCAAACAGGCCATGGCAATTTTCTGATGACCCAGCACCTTCGAAAAACAGCAGATGGTCTTTTCCTGTTTTAGCATCCTGAAGTAGAATGACGTTGAAAATAAGGGGAACAATATTTCAAAGTACAATCTAAACAACAACAAAAAAAAACCTCCTTTTTCAAGCTTAGAAAGAAAAGTTATACAAGACCATATCTCACTACTTTCTCATTACTATTTTTTCTTTTTCTTTTCTTTTTTTTTTTTGGTGAGGCAGTCGGGGTTAAGTGACTGGCCCATGGTCACACAGCTAGTAAGTGACATGTCTGAGACTAGATTTGAACTCAGGTCTTTCTGACTCCAAGGCCAGAGCTCTATCCACTGTGCCACTTAGCTGCCCTCATTACTATTTCTTCTAAGGTCAATATGAAATCTTCAATATTGCTGTCAATTATTTTTAAAAGGCATAATATACCAATTGTTATTAGTGTCACTTAAAGCTATTCCCTTTTATTTACTTCATAAACCAATATGGTTGGGCTTTTCTCCGGCCCATTTCACTATTCACTACAACATACACTAGATGACAGAAGGGTGAAATTTTTTTTTAAAAAAAGCTGATTGTCTTTACAAGACGTTCTTCTCTCTATTTGCCAGTTCTCAATTCCTGGTTTTCAAATGGTATGCCAAAGAAGCTCAGTTTAGTAAATAGAGTCAACTAGCATAGGAGGAATGGAAGACAAAGAACTGAAAGTCACTACTAAGGAGGTTCAGGCTACCAAACAATTCTGATTCTTACTCCTGAACAAACTTACGGGGTAGAGCGCTGCTGTCTGCAGCATGGAAGTAGTGCCAATATGGTTTACAGTGATATAATTTATATTTCCTAGCCTCCAAAACAGTATGGCTCAAAGATTATTTCTAGATAAGTATACCAATTTAACAAGCCAAGTTAAGCTGCAATTCATAAGATCACAGAATTTAGAGCTGGAAGGAATTTTAGAGATAATTAACACCCAAATTTACATATAAAAAAACTGATGAAGCAGCTGGGGGCTAAGTGTATATAGGCACACCTCCATTTATTGTGCTTCACAGATACCACATTTTTTACAAATTGAAGATTTGTGGCAACCCTGCACGCAAGTCTATCACCACCATTTTTCCCAATAGCTCGTGTTCACATTATGTCTGTGTGTCACATTTTGGTATTTCTCACAATATTTCAAAGTTTTTCATTATTATTATATCTGTGGCGATCTGTGATCAGTGATCTTTGAAGTTACTATTGTAACTGTTTTGAGTACCACAGACTGCACCCATGTTAAAATGGCAAACTTAATAAATGATGTATGTGTTCTGACTGCTCCACCAACAGGCCATTGCCCTTCTCTCTCCCTCTCCTCAGGTCTCCCTATTGCCTGAGATACAACAATATTGAAATTAGCACAATTAATAACCCTACAATGGCCTTTAAATGTTCAAATGAAAGGAAGAGTCGATTGATATGGCAAATATCATTGTTGTCTTATTTTAAGAAATTGCCACAGCCGTCCCAATCTTCAGCAACCACAACACTTAACCAGCAAAAAGATTATTATTCGCTAAAGGATTAGATGATAACATTTTTTAGCAATGAAGTTTTTTTAAAATTAAGGTATGTATATTTTTAGACATAATACTATTGCACTTCATAAACAGTCTACACTAGAGTGTAAATATAACTTTTATATACACTGGGAAACTAAGAAATTAGTGTTATTTGCTTTATTGTGCTATTTGTTTTATTGCAGTGGTCTGGAACTGAACCCATAATATCTCTAAGGTATGCCTGTAGAGTGCTAACCTAGGAAGACCTGAGTTCTAATCTTACCTCAGATACTTAACAGCTATGTAACCTTGGGCAAATCACTTAACCTGTTTCCCCTTACTTAAAATAGAGATAACATTAGTAATCTACCTCAGTCAGTCAATAAACATTTATTAAGCACCGTCTAAGTCCCACGTACTATGCTAAGTCCTGGGATACAAAGGAGGCAAAAGATAGTTTTGCAATCTAATGAGGGAGACAAGCCCACAAATACATACAAAAAGCTACATATAGGTTAAATAGGAAATAATTAAAGAAGGAAGACATCAGAATTAAAAGGAGTTTGCAAAAGCTTCCTATAGAAGGGATTTAAAGGAAGGCAGAGCGGTCAAGGGCGGGGGGGGGGGGGGGGGGGGGGGGGGGAGTGTGAGAGAATGCTTAGAACTGTCACTGGATCCAAGAAAACATGAGCACAAGGTGTAAGAAACATGGAAAGGCTGAAGGAGGCTAAGTTATGAAGGGTTTTGAACCTCAAAAAGATGATTTTGCACTTGATCCATTGATGCATTTGATTGCATAGGGAGCCACTCAAGTTTGCTCAGTAGGGAGTGATATAGTCATATCTACACTTTAGGAAAATAACTTTGGTGGCTGAATGAAGGAGTGATTAGAAGGGGCAGATACCTGAGGCAGAGAGACTCATCAGAAAGCTACTAAAATAATTCAGAGTGTGATGATGAGGGCCTGCACCAGAGTGCTAGCAATGTCAGAAGAGAGAAGGGGGAATATTGCTGCAAAGATGAAATCAACAGACCCTTGGTAAAGGACTGAATATGGGGGGGGGGGGAAGAGGGCCCGCACAAGACAGTGAGAGGCTAAGAGATAACAGGAGATAATAAGAGATAATAATATCCAGGATGACTCCTAAGTTATGGCTGGGAAGATGCTGTTGCAATACAACATGGTCCCTACAAGAACAGGAAAGGGAAATGGGGGGGGGGGGAGTAGAGTTTAGGGGGAAAGGTTTTGAATATGTTGAATTTAAGATATCGAGTGGATATCCAGTTCGAAGTGTGTGAAAGGCAAAAGGAGATGTGAGATAGAAAGTTAGTAGAGAGATCAGGACAGAGTAGGTAGATTTGGGAATCATCAGCATAAAGATGAAAATTAAATCTGGGAGCTGATCAAGTGAAGCAGTAGAGAGGAAGAAGAGAAGAAGGCCCGGGACAGAACCCTGTGGAGCACTTATAGTTAGAGGGTGTGATCTGGATGAGGATCTAACAAAGGAGACTGAGACGGAAAAGTCAGATAGGAAGAGAACCAGGAGAAAGCAATGCCTCAAAAACCTAGAGAAGAGAGTATCAGGAGAAGGAGATCAACAGTGTCGAACACTGCAGAGTTCAAGAAGAATGAGCATTGTGAAAAGTCTATTGGATCTGTCCATCAAGAAATCACGATAACTTTGGAGAGAACAGTTTCAGTGAATGATGAGGTTGGAAACAAGATTATAAGGGGTTTAAGAAGAGAGTGAGAGGAGAGAAAGTGGAGGCCTTTATCAGAGTTTAGCTACAAAGGGCAAAAGAAATATAGGATAATAGGGTGATGAAAGGATCAAATGAGTTGTTTATTTTGGGGGGTTTTCTGTTTTTTGGTGAGGTGATCGGGGTTAAGTGACTTGCCCAGGGTCACACAGCTACTAACTGTTAAGTGTCTGAGGCTGGATTTGAACTCAAGTCCTCCTGACTCCAAGGCCAGAGCTCTACCTACTGCGCCACCTAACTGCTCCCCAAATGAGTTTTTTTTTTTTTAAGAATGAGGGAGACATGGGCAAATTTGTAGGTAGCAGGGGAGGAGCCAATAAACAGAGAAAGATTTAAAAATGAGGGACAGAGTGGGATCGTTGTGAGGATCAAATGAGATAACATATACAAAGTGACTTGCAAACCTTAAAACATTACATAAATGCCATTATTATCATTGTTTTTACCACTGTTACATTTTGTTTCCCCAGGCTCCCAATCTAGATGTCATTCTAGACACAGCACTCTCTCTCATCCTTCATCACCTATCTGTTGCCAAGTCCTACTGATTCAACCTTTGCTTCAAGTGTTGTAGGCACTTATTACCTCACTCCTGGACTATTAAATAGTCTGCTACTTGACCTTCCTGCTTCTCCATTCAACCATCAAGTGATCTTCCTAAAGTGCAGTTCGTCTAATCATGTCGTCCTACTCAATAAACTCCAGTGGTTTCCTATTACCTCTAGGAGCAAATGCAAAATCTCCTACTTGGCTTTTAAAACCCTTCATAACCTGCCTTCTTTCTACCTTTCCAGTCTTCTTACCCCTTACTCCTTTCCACATACTTTACAATCTAATACTACCATCATCCTTACTGTACCTTGAACAAAATACTCCATCTACTGACTTCAGGCATTTTCACTAGCTGGCCTCCAATTCTGGCATTCTCTTCTTCTTCACCTCCCAGCTTTCTTCAAGCTCCAGTTAAAATCCTACCTTCTGAAACACTGTTGAATTAGAGTGTTTCAATACTCTAGTAGCATATATATTTCATCAAACGAAAAAAAATCACATAAGGTCACAGACTCATTGAGACAATAACTGGACTGAGGTAATACAACTGTTAATAATACTTAGTTATTTGCTGTTTATAAAAGTGATAAAGACAATCTTTTTGATTACTGTAACAACACACAAGTCAGCTGTTCTTAAAATATTACCTGGTAGATATCAGATAAACTGCTGCTCCCTGAGTCACTGGCAATGCTACATCCAGACTGGCTAGAAGGGACGTGGGTCACCTGTGGATGAGGGTTTTCTGTAAGGTGCAACTTGTTAAGGTCTGCTGGAAGCTGAAAAAAGAAAAAGGAAAAAAAATTCAAGTGTATACCCTTTAAAGTGTTCTTGATGAGATAAAGTCAAAATAGGTACATGATTCAGATATAAAGGCTGATACTATAAGCAAACTAGGAGAGCAAGGAATACTTTACCTGTATTTATGAAGAAGGGAAGAATTTATGAACAAACAAGAGATAGAGAACATTATGAAATGCGAAATGTATGATTTTGATTACATTAAACTGAAAAGGTTTTGCACAAACAAAGCCAGTGCAACCAAGATCAGAAGGAAAGCAAAAAGCAGGGAAACAAATTTTACAGCCAGTGTCTCTGATAAGGGCTTCATTTCTAAAATATATAGAGAACTGAGTCAAATTTATAAGAATACAAGTCATTCCCCAATTGATAAATGGTAAAAGGATATGAACAGGCAGTTTTCAGAGGAAGAAATTAAAGCTATCTAGTCATATGAAAAAATGCTCTAAATCACTAATGATTAGAGAAATGCAAATCAAAAAAACTCTGAGGTAATACCTCACACCAATCAGATTGGTTAATATAACAAAACAAGAAAATGATAAATGTTGGAGAAGATGTGGGAAAACTGGAACACTAATGCACTGTTGGTGGAGTTGTGAACTGATCCAACAATTCTGGAGAGCAATTTGGAACTATGCCCAAAGGGCTTTAAAACTGCATACCCTGGGGCAGCTAGGTGGTGGCAGTGGATAGAGCATCTGCCTCAGTCACGAAGACCTGAGTTTAATTCCGGCCTCAGACACATAACATTTACTAGCTGTGTGACCCTAGGCAAGTCACTTAACCCCGACTGCCTCACCAAAAAAAACCCCAAACAAACCAAAAAAAAATCTGCATACCCTTTGACCCAGTAAAGAGATCATACAAATGGGAAAAGGAACCACACGTACAAAAATATTCACAGCAGTTCTTTTTCTGGTGGCCAAGAATTGGAAATTGAGGGGACCTATCAACTAGAAAATGGCTTAACAAGTTGTAGTACATGAATGTAACAGAATACTATTGTGCTATAATAATGGCGTACTTCAGAAAAATGGAAAGACTCGTGAACTGATGTGGAGAACAATGTACATAGTTATAGCCACACTGTGAAATGACTAACTTTCATAGACTTGGCTCTTCTTAGAAATGCAAGGATCTAAGACTCATGATGGAAAATGCTGTCCATATCCAGAGAAAGAACTATGGAATCTGAATGCAGATCGAAGAATACTATTTGCTCTCTTTTTTTGGTTGTTATTATTTTGTTTTGTTTCTTCTTTCTCATAGTTCCTCCCATTGGTTCTAATTCTTCTTTATAACAAGACTAATGTGAAAATATGTTTAATATGAATGTATATGTAGAGCTTATATGAGACTGCACACCATCTTGGGGAGAGGGGAGGAGAAGAAAATTTAAAACTCAAAAGCTTATGGAAATGAATGCTGAAAACCCAAAAGAAATTAATAAATTAATTTTTAAATAGTATTAGTGATGTTAACACTTCTACATGAAATAAATTTTCACTTTAGGTATATTGAGTGCACCTCAAAATTTTAATAAGAAAATAAATGTCTCTTTTAGAACAGCATGATCCAAATATGCTTTTACTATGATTAAAGATACAGTTTTAGAGTTCTAAGGACACAGAAAAGTTTTCAGACAAGAAGTCAATACAACTCACAGAGAAAATTTGTCACCCTCCTCCTTTAGCAAAAATCTTTTCTCCCTAGGATTTGGGGAAAGAAAGGACCTTAAAAATCTTATGATCTACCCCCTCATCTAACAGAGGAGGAAACTCTGAAAAAATTTTAAAAATGACTTCAATTTCACTTTAGATGTTATCTCCCTGATTAATGGGAAACAATAAAATGAAACTATTTTGTTGTCTAATCTGGATACAGAAAAAAAAAATACTTGCTTCCATCAAAACAAAAATGTTTCTGGACTTTAGCAGAATATTTGTTGTACAAGGCTTCCGAGTAAAAGAGGCTTTTTGTTTTGTTTTGTTTTTTCATTCAACATAGAAAGAATATTGACTAAGCACATAATGGCACTGTGTTATATCATAGAAAAGTTGATCAATACAAAAGATTAGGTATAAAAAATCCAAAAGAAATCACTCATAACAGTATAGTGCTCAATGAATAAATTTCCAATTGCCAGGGTAAAGAAGAGCTCTTTATCTCACAAAAATTGCTAGGAAAATAGAAAGCACCCTTGTAAATTAGATACAGACTAACTTCTCACACTAAATACCAAATTAAGTTCCAAATGAATATATGACATAGATATAAAAAGTCAAATCATAGTTAATAAGCATTTATTAAACAAGAATATGTTTCAAGCATTAGGGACACAAAGAAAAGCAAAAAAAAAAAAAAAAAGCAGTCCCTGTACCCAAGCAGACAGTCTAATGGAAGAGGTAAGTAAATTATGTACAAAACACACACACACACACACACCACACACACACCCCAGAGATAATCTCACAGAGAAAGTACTAAGATTGAGGAGGTCTAGGAAAGGCATAGAAGCGCCAGAAGATGGAGATGAAAAGTAATATTATTCCAGGTATGGGGAGCATCCAATGAAAACGCCTGAAATTGGCACAGTATCTTGTTTGAAGAGAGTATCACTAGATTATAGAGTATGTCAAGGGGACTCAGATGCAAAATGATTTTTCTCAAAAGAAAGGAGGAGCTGGATTACAAAAAACCAGAGGGTTTTATATTTGATCCTGAAGATAATATGAAGCCAGCAGAATGTACTGAACTAGAGGGTAAATGGGGGGGGGGCGCCCAAGGAGGGAGAAGAGAAAGTGACATAGTTAGAACTATCCTTTATATTGAGCCTCCTGATGGCAGATGGACTAGAGTGGGAAGCTCCATGAGGCAGAGAGGCCAACCATCATGCTATTGGTCCAGGTGTGAAATAATGAAGGCTCCCAACAAGGTGGTAGGCTGTATCAGAAGAAAAAAGGGGATTTATAAATGAGATGTTGCAAAGGCAGAAACAAGGACTTGGCAACAGATTGGGTATGGGGGTTGACATAAAGTGAGGAGTCAGGATGACACCTTGGTTTCAAGTGTAAGTGCACAGGAGGATAGGGGCATTCCAGATAATAACAGAAAAATTACCAAATGCATAAACGACCTAAATATAAAAGGTCAAATCACAATAAAATCTGAGGAGCAAAGAAGGAGACATCTCATTTATGGATAGAAAAAAGTTTTTGATCAAACAAGACATAGAAAGGCTCATAAGAATTAAAATGGGTAATTTTTATTACATAAAACTTTTAAATTTTATACAAACAGATCAAAACAGAAGAGAAACAGTTAACTGGGAAAAATCTTTGCAGCACCCTTCTCTGATAAAGGTCTGACAATCAAGATATATAGGAAACTAATACAAATATATGAGTCACTCTTCACAGAAAAATGATCAAAGAATATGACGTTTTCTAAAGAGAAAAAGGCAAGCTATCAGGAACCATGTGGAAAAAATAATCCAAGCTATTAATGTTGAGAAATGAGAATTAAAATAGCTCTGAGGTTCCATCTCACATCCTTATATTGGCAAAGGTGACCAAAAAAAGGAGAAAATGACAGTTTTGAAAAGGATGTGGTTTGGACCAATAAGTTATGAACTGATTCAACTATTCTAGAAAGCAATATGGAGGTGTCACCAAAAAGTCACTAAAACTATGAATTGCTCTTCATGATACCAACTAGGCTTACAGCCCAAAGAGACTGAAGGAAAAAAAAGAAAAGGAAAAAGTACCCATACATACAAAAATATTCATAACAATGCTTTTTTGTTTTAGAGAAACTATAACTGTGCCAGGCACATAGTAAACATTTAACAAATGCTGGTTGACTGACAAAGAATTGGAAACAAAGAGGGTGTCCACTGACTGGGTAATGGTTAAACAAATTATGGCATATGAATGGTACAGAGTATTACCACACCTTAAAAAAATTACTATAGGAATAGGTTGAGAGAAACCCAGGAGAACTATGTAACATGCATCATGACATATTCATAGCCAAGAAAAACATACAATGACTATAACACTGATTATAAATCTACAGATTACACGAAGATGGGAGGACAGCTAATATGCTGAAAAGCAGAATGAGAATTCAAAAAGGTCTTGACTATAACAGGTCAAATCCAGTTAGATGACATACAATTGTTATAAATGTAAAATTTTGTATTTAGGGTAACATTGTAACATGTGCCTAAACTACAATTTGAGTGAATTCTAGGTCTAGAGACCCAGACTTTTAGAAGACTAAAAAAAGCTCAATAAGTCAAGATTGTAGCATGACATAACAAGGATACCAGTAGAGTACTCTGCCTGTTCACCTACAATCTCTCAACATCACATGTGACCAGCCAATCTTTTCTTCCTATCTTATATTTCCTTGAAGACATCTTTTATCCCTGTCCTTCAAAGTTCCTCTTGATTATATGTTACTGACTGCCTTCTACCCCTCCTCCTGTTCAACTCTGGACCCAACCGGTTGCTAATTTATACCATTTATTCCAGATACACACACTAACAGAAAAGCTGTACAGGTGTCACATGTCATAATCTGGGAAATAAATGTTCATTATAATTTTGCCTTTCTTATGTCAAGATTCTTTTGAATGATCTTTTCCAGGAGATCTATAATGTTCTAGGCCTGGACAAAAGCAGCACAATTATCATCGACAAAAAGGAACCTTTTGAGGACATCATCACCCAAATAGAAACATCCTTCAGTTTGGAGTCTGTGCTGAATCTCCTCCATCAAAATGTTCATTACTGGTGAACATACAGACAGATCTCCTTTTATACCCACTTTGTTTTTATGAATGGCTTCTGCACAGAGCTGTTTCTACTGTTATATCTGAATTTCAAGGACACTGAATTATTTTTAATGTATGGATGGGAGACATCTTGTTGGAAAAGAGCCAGGATTTCGCTATACTAAGTATATTCTC